AAAACAGGACAACTAATCCGTAAAAAAGGGACATTTTAGGGGAAAACAGGACAACTACCAGCACAAGTTTGTGAAATCAATAAAAAAGATAAACTATATGTTATTTTTGGTTGCATAGGTTTTACAGTCAGCCGCAGGTCCAGAAAACTGTGAGGGCAAACTTTTTCGGAGTGAGAGTTGTGAACTCTTGGAACAATCTACCAGAAAGTGTTGTGACGGCACCGAGTGTGAGCTGTTTCAAGACCAGACTTGACCAACACTGGAGCGGGTTCAGATACATTCAGGGGCCAGTACATGACCAGTACATGCCAACAGTGAGCAACAGAGACGTGATTGATCGCCCAAGCTGGTAACGAGCTGATAAGTGGTGAAGAGGATAAAGTAAAAAGGTAAACTGTAACTTACCTGAAATTTTAAAATTCAATGGACACAATTTCATCGAGGGAAGTTGCCTCTCTTTCTCCACCACTTCCGGTAATAGTGCAGGTTGAACTGGAACTACTAGGTTGCTGGCTGCCTTCCCCTTGGTCGAATTTTTGTTTTTCCCTGCTGTACATTTGACTTGTGAAGAGTGCTAGCATTTTTTCAGTAACTTCAAATTTCTGGCAACAGCTGTCCTTATTGTGCAAGTGTGTTCTCACTAGTAAAATGGCCTCTAAAGAATCTGGGCTTAACTTGTTTCTTGCCTTGGACTTCACATTCGTTACATGGGAAAACACTCGATCAACAAATGCGGTACTCAAAGGAATACAATAAGAGTTCAGACCAATGGTAACACTTTGTAACACTTTTCTGCAGCTGTATTTTCGTAAGTGAAAACCGCTGTCCAGAACTGAACAGGGTACTGGCAAATCTGACCCATACGACGCGTGTACTGAACGGCGCTCATCTTTTGGGGAGAGGAGAGGGTGCATGAACGTGTGTTGGACGTGTGGAATTAGTACAGATCGTCACAAACAGGCGTTACAAATATGATACGGACAACAGGATAGTACTTAGTAAAGTATTATGCTTTATGTTACATTAAGCTTTATAAGTAGAAGGAAGCTAAATAGGACAGAAATGGTAATTTTTGGCTGTGCTTTTTAATTACAAAAATATAGGACAAGCAGGTCTCAAAAAGGACAGATTGTCCTTTAAGGGACAGACCTGGCACTCTATCAGTTGTTCCTGCAGTCTGGGTGCGTTGTGGTCTGGCAAATCTTACACATTAACATCAAAATATTTCGAACCCAGCAGTATTTCCTGGTGTCTTCAGCAGGAATATAGTGTTCGAATTCTCTGAGATTGTTCAAGTGCTCCAGAAATTGCCACGAATGTCCTCAAATCATACTCGTACATTTTGCTCAAGTCTTCCAAGTAGTAGTTTGCTCATTTTGCCTTTCTACAACTTCAGTTTGTCCTTAAATGAGGACAGCTTATCAGCGAGTTCGATGAAAGTGACCGAATAAATTTGTAAAGTAGGCCACAGGAACTACCATTTTGGCTCAGAGAACCTTCCAACCTAACCATATTGTTATGCCGAGGCATAATTTAAGGCGTTTATTGTAAGGCGTTTTAGATGCACGGAATAGCTAAAGAGTTAGCTATTCTGGCTGTGCAGACGCTTCTGCCGAGTTGTGCACATGACACCTTGAGAGGGAAAAGCAAACTCTTTGATCAGGCATTAGCTTGTGCAGCGCCCGAATAGCTAACAACCAAACAGCGAGTTTCTCCCACTGAAACAGTGTGTAAATACACGGATCATGGCCGCTTATGGAGAATATTTTGATTAATATTGAAGAGTTGGGGGCGTGTAAGGCAATAAAAAAATTGTGATATAATAATAAAAATAATTCTATACACGGTAGTATATTGGATAGGACCGAAAACAAACCATATGGCGTGAAAGAATTGAAAAGGATCCCACCTAGTTGAAACTTGTTTTGGCTCCCCCGTTTTTTACATGGGCACTGTCCGATTTCATTAGCCGTTGGTGACTTTGGTGTAACAATATTGATAATTACTCAAATATGATTGAAACCTTAATATCATTATTCATAAGATACTTTAAGTAAGGGTGAAAAGTTTATGAAAGTTCTGTAAGCGCAAAATATTAAGACTTAACGAACCTGAAATTCGTCGTATTTCGTGTATAATAAATATGCGAACACCTAGCCGCGAGAGAAGGGTACAGCTGCTCTGGTTGTTGCGTGTAGTTTCAGAGTCCAGGAGAAATTACCTTTACAACAGGCCCGATTTTTGGTGTTATTCTTATTTATTGTTGACTGGTTGACTTTTTTTTTACTTTTTTGTCTTTCTTTCCATAATTTTCTATATATTTTCTTCCATATTTCTTTTCGTATTGTGTCCAAATAACAGTTCTCCTAATTTTATTGTTTTCTGAAGACTGTGTTGTACAATAGTTATTCCCAAGACGCGGTACAATGTCGTATTTTTTAATGACAGTCCGGGAATGGCTAACGCGTTACCTATTCCATGCATCTAAAACGCCTTCCAATAAACGCCTTTAGTACTATATCTTTTGTGAGCTACGTATTCTGATTATTTTCTATGCCAAGCATCAGTTATTGTGGCACGTTTTGGGAGCTTGTATATATTGATGTATTACCTATGTAAGAATTTTCTAGAATGAATTGCTAATTTTTTATGATTTACTTGCATATTGTAAGCCTAGATCATTCAAGGACTCTCCAGGTGTATCTCGTTCCGATCTGCAACACCAGGATGTCGTTATAATGTTCTAGGCAGCTGACAAGAGGTATAAATAACAACAGCGAGGCGTTAGAGGACTCCCCAGTGAGGAGTAGTTGACTGTTTCTACCCAGAGTGTAAAGTACAAGTCTAGTGACTACTAAAGATAATTGGAGTTTAAGTATTGTGTAATTGTAGTAAGCAATATAGAGTGAACAGACTAAGCAATTGTACACTGGTAGTGTGCTGACTATATATATTTGAAGTGACAAGTCCAGTGGTAAAGACTTACCCTGTGAACAGCTTTGCTAAGACTTAATGATTATTAAAGGAGACTGCAGTTCACAAATGTGTTTCTGTAACCTGGTGGAAATCTACCTGTCTATTGTTTTGTCTGTACACTGATACCGATCGTAGGTAAATTACCGGAGACTAGCAGGACAGCCAGTGGTAATTCGACCACACTTGTGATATATGATATATCTACCACTTCTGTACATACAACCCTGGCCGCTGGGAACCAGTGGTGGAAGCTGGGTAAGCGGTAAAAAGGGGTTTCATAACTATTTTATGCACCTTTGTTAGTACGTTTCCCCAATTAGAAAAAAAAACAAGTACAGTATAACATTAAAATCCAGTGGTAACTCAGCAGCCCTCAACGAAAAAAAAGGAAAAGTGGAGAAGAATCAAGAAGCGAGATGATTACAAAACTGACACAGGATGAAAATATCACAATTAAAAAACAAGCGAGAAAAATTACATCCCCCCACACATGTAGACCGCAGTGATATGTTTGCAGCCTTGATTACCTTTCTCGACCCATTTTAGAACA